ACCCACCATCAACATCATCTGATTGTCACATAATCGTCTTGCCTAATAAGCCAATTACTCCAGTGCCAGTCTCGATGCTAAGCAATATACATCTATCTTCAAGTATATGAATATTATGTATGCAACGGTCTCCCGATCGCATTAAGTATAATACGTAAACAATAAAATGTTTCTAAAAGAAAAATCATAGAAATACAGTCATCGATAATACGAAATCGAAATATATCAATCCATTATTATGTTTATCTTAATTCGATTTATTATCGACCAAATTTGAAAACAATAAGTATACCATTATCGAGATTTTTGCATGATGTCGAGCTTGCCATAAGACATGTATATATTCATAGATCTACAAAATCACTTGTTGAACGCAAATGTCCAAAGTAACAGTCAATATGAATGGTTTCATTTAATTCTAACTTGTCATTAGCTTCGTCTAGTCTCACTTCACTGACTAGTCTTATTCAAATTAATTCGATTTAATCTAATTGTGGAAATGATTAGCATTGTTGAAGATGAAGATTTCCTTACTTCCATTCAACAATATCTTCATTTCAGTGGTTGTAGAATCATCTCTTAGCCATATAACTGCCAATGATATTGTATCATCGAGACTAATACTTACCAGAAAAATTAAATGACAAGCAAGCGAAGCGTGTGAACATCTAAAGATTGAATTGATTCAAGCAGTAAAAGAAGAAACGCTTGTAATTAGATCACACATTTGGAAGGATAGATTAAAATAGAAAATTATTATACTTGAACTAACAGCTCGTGTCATCAATAGTAATTGTAAACCACACACAGTTGATCTCTCTTGTGAACTGTATATTGAAATCACCAAGTGAGTTCATAGTATTTCGTAGGTACATAACAAAAAACTACTCTAACTTGTGTACACTTTTTTACTTTAACTTTGTCTTTGTCACAACAGACAATGAAAGCTGTTCTCAAACGTTTTCAATTCGACATTACGATTCATGGTATTATTTCTGTATTAGATCGAGTCAATAATTTTATCAAAGCCTTAGACGATCATAATTTGCTTTAATTATGTTGCTCCCGGGTTTAATAATAAATTAAAACGAACGTTCTATCATGTCAACACTCATGAAAACATACTTCAAAAGAAAAAGAAGAGAAACAAGAAAGAAAGAGAATCATCAATTAACATGAATTGCATTGAACAGTGATAGTAATCTTCTACTAGATTACTATGATCGTGATTTGGACAAGAGTGATACTGCCGATGATATTTTTTTAATGCTAAATATATTAAGTTAGCACTTTGAAGTTTGTTTTTATCCACACTCAAACTGGTCATATAAATGCTCTTGAGCACGATCAGTCAAGTCATGCTAACGACATGCCGTATTCAATCACATAATGCAAACAATTGTGTTTTGAAGTTAAGCGTGTAAATTTTCAACATCAATTGTCTTATCACATGATGTTATTGTGATATTATCTTGGCCTAGGTCAGTTTAAATCAAACTTCACAAGAAAGAAATAAAAGCAATAAAACAAGAAGTTATTGTACGATGGCTTAGTATGTCTCAATTACTTGAAAGTATCCTTTGATTATATTCGATACTGACAAGAATTATTAATGAAACAAATATTCTTCATATGTTACCACTGGTCGATGTTATCACTGTTGCTAGTGTTTTGATACTCTTGGAAGCATAGAAAAATGTCATGACGAGAGTGCAAACAATGGTCAAGCTATTTCTCTATTCGGTCGTCACATTGTATTGATATCTAATTTAAAAAAACTACTTGTTATTAAAGAAGAAGCAGTCAATAATGCAGCGAAAGATGAGAGAACAATGTGATTAAGAGCTAATGACTGATTAATTGACATTTATATAATTTTCTGTAGCTATTTTCTTTTTCAATACACTTGCTTGAAAATTACTGAATATAATGTTCATTTGATGTACTTTGTTAGAAAACCAAATTGAAGTATTCAGAACTAAAAAGCGATGTTCACAAAAGAATTTGGTTTACGTGCATTGGCTGGTAATTGATAAGAATATGTTAAAGATGTCTGTTTTGTCATTGAGTATGTCGATTGTCAATATGATTAAATATTTTTATTCATTTTTAACATCGTTCTGTTCGAAGATCTAATCAATTGATATAGTTGAAAATTTTGCATTTGTCAAAATTGATTTTCATGATGTAAGGGAAGTTGGCAGCCGATTCGAATTTCTTTCAAAACGGTTCGCACCATTTAGTGAGCCAACTCAGGCATGAATCCTGTGAGCCAGATGCAGCTCGGAGAGCTCTATCAAATGGTGTAATCGAATTTTCAATGAAAGCTATCCGATTCAAATGAAAACAAAAACACTAATTTTTCCCCATAGGAAAAAAGCATTAACAAAAGGTTTTCTCTGACGATTCGCTCCACTTTATGAGCCATTCATGAGATATAGCTCATTCGATGCATCTTAGTGCACTCTATCGAATGGTATATGTTTCATTGAAATGAAAGTAAAACTCTGGGTGCAACATGCCTGAAATGCTAGAAATCGGGATCCAAAGCAGTAGAGTCCGTGACAATTTGCTCGACTTTGTGAGCTACTTATGAGACATAGTTCATTCGATGCAGCTTGATGAGCTCTATCGATTGGGTGAGGGTGTGGAGGTGTGTGCGGATTTGGATCTTCTACTTGCTCAGATCCATACCACACTCACACCCTCTTGAGTTATGTTTGATCGCTGTTAGAATGTTAGTATTGACCCATATAATAAAGCATGTCCTTCGCTAGTCAAAATTTTTGTAAAATACTTTTTGACCATTTTTCGCGTCGATATTCTTCGACATTTTCCCTTTTCTATATTTTTACACTGCATGATAAACATTTTGACAAAAGAAGAATGACCTGACGGTTGAACCAATCATCAACTATAATGGAAAATGTGTAGCTGAAAGAAAAATCCTATCACCTATTCAACATATACTAACATGACGGTATTAATATTTATTCTTCATTATTCTCACAGATGTCAGTGAGAAAATGATGACATATATAGATTGACACGAACACATAGTTTGAGTTAGACATGGATAATTCAAATAATAATAATTTGAATATACTCGATTTGCCCAATGAAATGTTAATCAATATTTTCAACAGATTATATATCGTTGATATTCTTTATTCACTTGTGAATATTAATGAACGATTTGATCGATTAGTAATTGATCCTCTTTATATTCATCATCTTGATATGACTATCGAATTACCCTTTGATGAGATAATTTCAATATACAATAAAGTTTTTTCAAGAATTTGTGAAAATATCTTACCTCGAATTCATAATCAAGTAAATAAACTGATTGTTGATTCATATTCCATAAAATCTATTCTTACTGTTAATTATCCTCAACTTTATTCGTTATCACTTGTTAATTTTCAAGAAGAAATACTTTTTCAATATTCAAAAGATATATTATTTTTTTGGGTACGTTTTTTTTTGCTTTAATCACATCTTCACATTGATTGAAGTGGTATACACGCACTGCATGAGAGTGAGGGTGTGATGATTAAAGAAAAAATGTTCCTTTTTTTTGAAATTAATAATCATTGTTCTTTTTAAATCCAAGGTGATTTTATTCTTCGTAATCTTCTTAGTGAACAAATTACAGATCTTAATATTGATATTCAGTATGATATAATAGCACAATCCACTATAAGTCTTTCAGAAAAGTTTGCCTTAATATTATCATTAAGTAAAAGATTAATCAGTTTAAATTTTTGTCAATTATTTCATTATCGAAGTTTGTCTGTTTGGTTTGTTACCCGATCATCAAAAATTTACATGTCTTCAACTTTAACTAAACTGAAAATTGAGATCAAAACTTTTCGTGATTGTCTTTGTCTTCTTGATGGTTGTCTCGATTGTTTATCGACATTGATTATCAATGTACGGTATATTTGCGTAATGTCATTACGTAAATATAACACGGTAAGTTATTTTTATCATTTTTTTTTGGAAAACAAAAAACATTAATTTAATTATTTTCTTTTTTATAGAAAAACTTCCGAGATTGAAACATTTTTCATTAACATCGTTCGATGACACAATATATTATGACAAACTAATTATTCCACTACTTTGTCGAATGATAAATCTTGAAGAATTGATATTATTTTTATCAATAATCAGATTTAACTCGACTTTTATTGATGGTATTCAATTATATGATCAATTTCTTATTTATATACCACGATTAAATAAATTTACATTCAGTATAATTACAGTTGTTGTCAACAATAATATTCATTTGTCATCACATAAAGATATTCAACATAGTTTTATTGGAAGAAGATATGGACAAGTTGGTTCATAAGTACATACGGAATCGATGAAGACGAAAGGCACATGTCATATTTACTCATTTCCCTTTCAATTCGAATATTTTCTTTATCTCAACAACTCTTTTCAAGGTGGTATGTTTAATAAAGTTCGATATTTGAAGATGATTGATGCGCATTCGTTTGAGTATAAATTCTTTAAAGTTATCTCTCAAGATTTTTCCTTTCTCAAATTTATATATATATATATATATATATGTAATAATCAATCACAAAAAGATAAGCAAGAG